GATTCTACTAACATTCGATTTAGCAATATATTTAGGGTATATAGTAGACAGAACAAGAGTGTATAACTATTATATTCTTCGTAGAGTAGGCGTCGCTATTCCTTTCCTTCGATACCTTCGAGGTCGATATATCGTTCTAACGTATTAAGGAAAAGAATATAAACGAAGTAATTCTCGGACGATAGGATAAAGAGCGAACTATTCGTAAGTAATTCGCATTCCGATGCTATTTAAATATTATTCTATTCTAAATACATTCTTAGTCCTTATCTTCGCCCGAGCCTACGTCCGTAGAGAATCCGAGTCTATATACTAGAACTTCTTTACGCAAGTCTTCGGAAGGATACGTAAGGTTACTAGAACGGTAGTAACCTTTCACTATATCTACGGTAAAGGAATTCGAGCGGTCGTAACCGACCTAAACTTAAAGCAGGCTAAAGATATAAGAAAGCATTCTTATAGTAATAATATTACGATAACATTGCGATAACAAACGCTTCTTCTAGGCTTAGGACTTTATCTTTAAGAAATTGACTATTAAAACCGCGATTAGAGGGTGCAACTCGAATATATTATCCTCTATTGCGTAATCTATTAGCGGAGGAACATTAATAAGGCTATTTAGAACGAGAGCCTATACGATCGATCGATCCTTTTCGCTCGGATAGATAGTATCCGTAGATTGAAATTAAAAGAGGCTTATATTAAGGAAGTTAAAGCTTTAGCAGGTAAGTGAGAAAGCTTTTAGATTGGAATCTAAAATAAATCCTATCGCTAGGTTATTTAAACGAGAAAGTAGCAAGGTAGGCTAGGTATAAGCTCTATCGCTATATCCGCTATAGCCTAGTACCCGCCTTCTTAAATATTCCTAAGGCAACTTAGCGGACAATTAGATACTATACTAATACAATCGAGTTAGCCGGGAAACAGGGGTACTATACTAGAAAGCATCGGGAAATTCTACCTACGATTAATGCGTATATTAAAGCTTTCTAAAAGGTTTCCGATTAGTTTAACAAAGCAATAATATTGAAATAGCGCTACTATCTTAAATCGAAAGACTCTAATATCTATAAAAAACATCGAGTCCTATAGCGTTCGTTTAATATAGCGGGCTTACTCCGTATACTCGTTAGCAACGAAGAGTAAACACTAATATAGTATAAGTAATCGTTATTCGAATAGTATCGGAATAACATTAACTTCCCTATCTAGAGAACCGCTATCGTAAACGGGATGCGATAGAAAAGAGAACAGAACGAGAATTTAATAAGGATGCAATCGTCGCCGAAGAACCGAGTAGTACTTAGACACTAAAGCGGCGTCGTTCGGCGCTATCGTTACGAGCGAAGGAAAGTCTAGCCTTACGTAAAGTAACTAGTACGCCGACACTACCGAGTATACCGGCGACTAGCGACGATATACCGCCGATCGACGTAGAGCTTCTAGAACGGTAGAATAAGGCGAAACGAGAGATGCTAGATCTCCTTTGCGAGGAAATAGTATTAAAAGAACAGATAAGAGAGAAAGGTTTGTAATTAGTATATTAAAGGATTTAGATTAGTATAGGAAACGATTTAGACTGTAATACAAAAATAATTATAACTACTAGTATTCACTTCTATAAGATTCTTAACCCGCCTAGAACTCCCCCGCTATTCTATTTACATCCTATTCTTATTCCATTCTTATACTATTCTTATTCTATTCTTATTCCTTCGTTACCGCTCTAAGAGCCCTTAAGCTATCGTCCGCGAGATCTTAAAATAATACTCGGTATTTATAGCTACGGAAGAGGTCTTAGGTCTATCCGTTTCGTAAACAGGTCGGACAGCGATCGTGCTATCCCTACTAACGTAGAAGACCGATAGCGCTCCCGAAATTAATCTAAATAGAATAAGAATAGACTTGCAATCGTTTGAGATATAAATAAGAGTAGGCTTACCGCGTTTCCTCGCTTATATCTAGGCACTCGAATAGAACTATAAGAGAGAGGCTATAGATCGGGAAATCCCTATCGAGGATATAAGGGCTGCTAAGCTAGTACTAGCTTAGGCGGAGGGGCTATCCGGACTAGTAGCGTAGGCGTAATAGGCGGATTAATCGAAGGCTCGGGCGTAGGCCTTTTCGGGGGCTAAGCCGGGGGGGGTTCGGTACTAGGCTCTCGCTTAACATTAGAATCCGAAACGGATATTATTAGTTTCGGATTGCGAGAAGGCGCCGACGGGGCATTTATCGCATTCTATTTAGAAGCGGATACCGCGAGCTTCTCGAGGTCCCCGAGGGGGTTTTCTTCCTCTAGGTTATAGACCGAGCCCTCCGACTTATCCGAAGAAATTACTATCGGCGCTAATTTATACGATTTAGAAATACTAGAAATATTAGTAAGAGGTCGACGATAGATAGGATAAAACGAAGATTATTACTTACCGCCGTCGCGACTCTTTAGTTTTATTCTTATCGTCCGGAGCAGTCTTATAAGCAAGGTTAATTTTTTTAAGGCGTATTTCTACCGTCGTAGGTTAAATAGATTCGCATTCTAATTACAAACCTTTTTATCGGACTCGATTTCCGGATAGCGATAGGACTCTTAGGCCGTACCGCTATAGGACTTAGTCCTAACTATTCCGATTCCTCGTCGTCCTCGTTAGCGTCGCTATTGTTAGTACTTATCGACAGGGTTCTTTCTCGAGGTATCGGATTTTTCGAAGATATAGCCGTTTTATCTCGATTAGACCTATAATTTATTAGTACTAAATTAAGTATAGAAACAGAGGCATTTAAAGACTTAGTATTATAACCCGTTGCTTTTACTAACCGAGATCCTTTAGCCTTACCGCCCCTAAGAAAAGTTAGTAAAAAATCATTTAAATCTAAAATTATTAAGAAAGCCCGAGGACTATTATTAGATTCTTATTAGTTTGAGAATAGTTTAATAGTACTTATTGCTTTCTTATTAGTATTAGAAGGGTATCTCCTAACTCTAACGCTACGCTAACTATACTAAAAAAACCCTACTTACAAGGTCTCTCTGCCCGAAATAATGTCGTCGAGGTTAGCCGCGAACTTAGCCTTAGCCTTACTCTTCTTAGACGAGCGTAAGCTACGTAGGGTAGTAGGCTTTTCTAAAACGAATAAGAAACTATTAGTACTTTTTCTTAAACTATTCTAAAACTAATAACATACCGATCCTATCTGCCTTCTTTAGGGTAGTATTAGCAGCCTTCTTTAGCGTCTTCGGCTTTAGCGTACTTGCCGCCTTCTTAGTTTCGTTAATATAGGCGTTGTTAGTAGCGACAGCTACCTTACGATACTATTCTAAATAGAATTAGCCTATATTTAAACGTTTCCGAAACCATTCCGATTAGTATTATATACCCTTAGCCTTTTTCTTCGCCTTCTATCTATCTTAACCTTTACTCTTCTCGAATATAAGACTATATCTACCTTTATCGGTATTTGTACGTATATAGGCGAGAAGGGCGGAGAAGTCTTAGAATAGCTTATACTAAAACCAATTAGATACTATTGCTAATGCATTTAGATTAGAAAAAACTTACTAAATATATATCGTTATCCTTACTAGCGGTAACGCGATAGATTACCTCGCCTAGTACTAGAATTTAGTCGTCGTCTAAGAAGGTATTTTCGTCTACGACTAACTTAAATACCTCGAAGCCTTAAAAGCAATTAGAAATAAATATTAATAGAATAATAAAAGGACTTACTAATAGTTTTATATTCTTGCCCGCCGTATCGATATATACGAGGTAGTCTTTGTTATTAATAAGCTTCTAAGATAGGGCTATAGTAGAATCGAGTTTGAATAGATTAGCGAATCGAGTTAGAATAGATTAAGATTGGATTCTAAATAGACTAACGCTAGTAGAAGCTGCTATAGTAGGGGAAAGGAATAAGGGTTGCTTTCGGAAAGTCGAGCTTGTTTAAGCCGAGCGCGCGCACTAACCTGCGTACGGACCATTACGGCTTTCTCCGATTAGTCAATTCGGTGGTCAGCTCGGTGGTTTCGGTGGTCAGGATTTCTGTGTCCCCCTTACCCGAGAATAGATGGCGGATAAAATCCTGAGATGCTTTTCCTGTGCTCGGAACTCTTGGATACACCATAAGGTCTAGATTGATTGCGATGGTCGTCATGAAGCGATCGTTTCTCGCCGCATCGCCGATACAGTGTCCTCGTTGCAGCGACATCATTGAATTCGGAAGTCCTGTGGGTGGATGAAGGAGGCGGAGCGAGCGAAGGAAACACATCTATCAGCCTGCAAATTGCTAGCTGTGTAGTTATGACAGCACCAAAAGTCTTTCTGCGCTGTCATTGAGCAAACCAACGACTGGCTCTCTGGAAATCATCTTCGAAGAAATATGAGACACAGCAGCGCTCTTGTGGGAGCATATCTCGTTCGAAAGTCAATATTCGCAAGGCCGCTGAGGAATCAAAAGGATCAGTGAGTGGGCTGCTCCGATCGGCCGCCACTGTTACAATGCAGTGAAGCTCTTACGAGTTTTTAACCTCTGCCACATCGACATCGATTGTGGTGAACAAGCGACACCTCCACCAGAACAACATCAAGATGCCTGAGCGCAGGTCCTCCACGACAGGCGTGGATGTGTCCCGCACTCGAGCGCTGATCGGCGGGTAAAGGACTGGTGCGCACTCAGGTCATTGTAAGTTGTGCTGGATTACGACTTAGAGTCGCTCACGCCGGCTCCAGTTCGATGAGGAGGCTTGACCCGAGACTAACCGGCCGAGTCCGCAAAAGAAATCCCATTGCACTTCGGGTATTCCCCATTCGCGTTCGTTCGAGACTGCTTGCGGTCCAGGCGGGCGATGGTTGTTCATCAGCCCATGGCGCGCGCGCCGGGTCTGAAGAACAAAAAGGTGTGTTGTTGTCTTGCCAACATCCCACGAGTGAGCATTGGGGTCAGGCGGTATGCTGGATACAAGTCTGTACAATCTGTCGGTTCAATCAGCTATGCGAGACTCAATCATCCTTCTCTTCTTCGCCATCTTTCTCCTTCTCCTTATTTCCAGCTTCTTTCTTCTTTCTCTCCTTTCTAAGAGCCTCCCTAACCTTCTCGTCACCCTCATCCTTGGTCTCATCCCAGTCGACATCGTATTCCTCAGCGACCATCTTGATTTCTCTCCTTAACCTGTTTCCTTCATCAATCAACATCTCCCACTTAGGCAGATGAAACCCTTTGGCTTGGTACAATTGGCTCTGCCGTCTTGATACAGTAAAGTTCATGGCTGACTTGTAGCTCACTTCGCGATTGTGGTACAAAAACCACATGTAACCGCCGATCAAACCAGAAAGACCGACGAGATAGGTCACAGGCTCCATGACATCCCAGCCTAGATCTGTGAGGAAAGTCAAATAATACACCTGCATGTACGTCAGTCAATGTAGCATCTCAGCTCATGGAATATCACTCACAGCTCCCCACCAACCGATCAAGCCAGCAAAACCCAGTCTTGCCACATTCTTCGCACCACGATGCGCCAATTCGTCGCATTCACTCTTCAGCTGCGCCATACTGGATATACGGGCCGAAGTCTTCCGCAGGCGCATTCTCAAATAGTATGTGCGGTCATTGAAGCTTGGAACTCCAACACAAATAGCCTCAGGGGCTCCCTCAATGTCCACTGCGAATTCCTTTCCTCTCGCCGCATCACGAATGAAATCTCCAATCTCGGTGCTCGGACTCCACTTGACGAAGTTTGGTCGCGGAGGATGTCCAGGCTCTTCGTGCGACTTTGGGCCACCCTTCGTGCTTCCGCGGATGACACCAGTTCTCTGCCGCTTGCCATCGACCATTTCTTCATCGGCATCCTCAACATCGTCCTCTTTCTTTTCACGTCGTGCCTGCCGTTCTTCAGTCGCCTCGTCCTCTCCGACTGAGCCCTCCATACTGTCTTCTGCACGAAAAGTAATGTTTGGAGGTCGCTGCTTCCCGCTCTTCTCCTCATCGTAGAATGGCAGCTCACTCTGGATCAGACGTTCGAGGTAGCTCAATGGCTGCTGCGGATGGACCAACAAGGCCAAAGGTTCCACATCTTTGCGATCATTGTTATGATCTCTCGTTGTCAGAGGGAGGATGAGCTTCAGCATGCGTGATGGTGTGGTCAAAAGCTTTCCTTTGGTCATCGCCCCGGCGCTTCGATTTCGTTGAACAGGAGGGACATCAGAGCCGTCTCGCATCCATGGGCTGCGCGACTGCATCGCTTTGCTTTGCCTTTCCACCTTGCTGAAGTGGTCCTTTTCTGCTTTCGTGACATGCTGTGAAAGGCCAGTCGCTGGCTGCGAATACGAGCTGTCTGCTGCTGACTGAGTGTCGTATGGCTTTGTCTTTTCTCGTATTTGCGCCGTGTTCGAGGTCGAGAAAGCGCGTTCGTGTCGTGTCGCGGATGAAAGAGCTGCTATCGGTGGTGGTGGCGGCGATGGCGATGCCGGCATGGTGCTTGTCACACGCGCTCGAGCTCTCCGGAAGGCCGATGCACGCGTCGCGGCGAAATTGGTGGCCCGCGGAGCTGCCCGAACGATCCAGCGAGCGACGAAAGGCTCCATTGTGGGAGGATCGTTTCTAGCATGTCTCAGCAGTGTGAAAAGGTCAAATTGTCTGGCTGGTCTGCACATTCCAAGATTCACCTGTCTCGCACATATGACGAGCCGCCTACGTCATTCCACGTGGCCCAAATCATTGTACGACGACGGCAGTACACATGTCCTTTCCTTTCCCACTTCAGTGTTGAGCTGGCGACGACTGAGGGAACGCTGAGAAGTGCGGTCGGAGAGGATTCTTGTAGATGTTGAACTCACACCGTTTCGGCGTGTCTATCCGGGAGCGACGGAGCTCTTGAACGCTCTGTACTCTATATACGCCGTCGTAGGCACTGTCGTTATGGAAGCTGTCTTCGGAATATCCTCCCTCTGCAATGCCCTTCCATCATGCCTTTCATCGTCTCATCAAGATCAACCCACCCATTAAATGCAATGCCAGCAACATGGCAAACATCTTGCCAGCCTTCAGCACACTTCGTCTGATGGCGTCTGCCTCTACAATAAGAATGGTGCCACAGCTACCGCTCCCGGTCGTTGGCAATCCTGGTCCAACAGCCACAAGAGTCGAGCAATATCCACCTCCGGCGTAGCCAACTGTCTGCACCGTGACTGGGCTCTGCGTCGTAACAATGCCTCCGCCGCCTGCTACGTAGACTGTGGTGCCGGGGTGCTGGTATATGGTCGATGCTTCCTGATAGTATGTGGTCGTCGGCGCTTGAACGGAGCCAGAACATGTCTTGCCATTCGGACAGCATGCGACAACCGAATTCGCCCATTGACAGTAGTTGCCAGATGGACAGCAGCTGGTGCCTTTGTCAGCTCTCCATCTTCCTGTAACGAATGTAGCGCAGCGCTCGTAGATTGGACCTGAAAAGTGCCACATTGAAAGCTGCAAGTGCGCTGATCGTACTTACTAGCTGGGTTGCTGGATGTTGGTACAGCTCACAGGAAAGTTCGCAGGACATTGCGCTTGAACGGCACCTGTTGCTGTACCATCACTGCCTCCGCCTCCGCTCGTGCCGCTGTACACCCCATTGCCGTTGACAATCTGCAGCGAGCCTGTGAAGTTATTGATCTCTTGAGCTGTCGTGGTCGCGGCCAACGAGGATAGTATGCTCCAGACGAGGAGGATCGAGGGGATCGGTGCGCGCCTCCGCACTGTGCTGTGCGACAGCATCATGGCGACTCCTCGGCGCTCCTTTGCGATGCGTCTTAGTGGCTGGGAAGGCGGTGCACTCGAGCTCGGTCTTGGTATCTTCAGCTTCGAGTCGGGGCTGGCATTCTCGATTCCTGCACGTACAATGTCTCTCTTCCACCTCTTTTCACAAACTCCAGCAACGAATGTATTGCGCAACGAAAGACAGACATAAGCGAGAGAGAGAAAGAGAGTGAGTCGCACGAATAGAAGGTGGTTGGAAGCTTACTGAAACTTGATGGTAGCCGAGTATGTGCAGGCTTCGAGCTTGTTTGCGCTCATGCATAATGCATATGCCCTGTATCGTGGGCAGCCTTGCAAGCATTGCACTTCCCGGCAGCTCCGCGGGCATCAATGCTGGTGAGACGGTAACTTGGGCAAAGACACGGCGGCATCACGATTCCGAGCCTCCCGGCGGTTTCTAGATGGCTGTGTGGGTGAAGACGATGTCGGTGGCGATGTGTAGGGAGAAGAGAGAAGCGATTGAGCTGCTGCTGCCGAAGATGTCTTGATGACAGGGGAGCTCAATTTGGAGCTGAGGCCGCGTATGCTTGCCACCGATTATGGCGGTTATCCACTGTAGTTGTATAACCGATTATCGCTAACTCTTGATAACTAATATTGTCCGCTTGTAACCGTTGTTTATAATCGTAGGTGTCTCGCTCTCGCTAATATATTGCTATATATAGCAAGATCTATAAAACCGGCTCTTAAGGTAGTTTTATAGCTATCTATATACTAAGTAGACTTCCGGCGCGCCGCCGCTATATCTACCTCTTTTAAAGCCGTATTTCCAATAGTATAGCGATTATAAGGGTATAGTTAACGATAGAACCGTAGAACGTTTATAATCGTAGGTATCTCGCTCTCGCTAATATATTACTATATATAGTAAGATCTATAAAACCGGCTCTCGAGGTAGTTTTATAGCTATCCGTACGCTAAGTAGACTTCCGGCGCGCCGCCGCTATATCTACCTCTTTTAAAGCCGTATTTCTAATAGTATAGCAATTATAAGGGTATAGTTAATAATAGAACGATTATTAGCGGTTATTCTAGTAGTAGCGGCGGTCTTAGTAGTACCGCTATTCTTCCTCGAAGAGATACCGCGATTTTAAAGGCGCGAGCACTATCGACCGAGCGGCCGCGCGACGACTTAGATAGAGCGTAATAAATTCGAGAAAGAGGTATTTAAGGTATTAAATAGACCGTTACGATATTGTCTAGAAAGAACGCGCCTTAGGCAACCGGTATTACTATCGTTAATCGAGGAATTAAAGGAATACGGTAGATTAGAGTCTAAGAAGTATTTAGTAGAGGTAAGAGTAGTTATATTTCTCGTATATATTAGCTATAATAGTACCTACTTAGAGTTAGCTAACGACTTCGGTATCTTAAGAGATATAGCGGCGTATATCGTACGAGAGGTTTCGAAGTGCGTATATCGTATTACTAAGCGGTAGATAAAGCTTCTAGATTATACTAAGAAACCGGCGTAGGCAGAAGGTAAAGATAGTAGCAAGTTTTAGCTATACTTTAAGGGTGTTATAGGCGCCCTTAATAGTACGTTATTAATTACTAGTCTACGGAAGATTAATACTAATCTATAGCGGTATCGGAAGGGATTTATCGCTTAGAATATAATAGCTACTTACGACTCGTCCTTACGCTTCCTATTTATTATACTAGGTTACGAGGGCTTAGCGACCGACAGTACTATATTAAGGAAGGCCTATTAGTTAGGTTTCGAGGTACTAGATAGATACTTCTACCTCGCCGACGGTAGTTATTCCTTTAAAGATCTACGCCTTTTTATACTATACTAAAGGACGAGATATTACCTCCGAGAGTAGGGTAAGGTAGAAGTAAGACCCGAGAATTATAAGGAGTTATTTAACCTCCGCTACGCTTAGCTTCGCAACTATATCGAGAGAGTATTTAGTATCTTAAACCGCCGGTTTAAGATTATTAAATATAGGCTAAATAGCTAGTCGATAGCTTAGTAAAACCGCTTTATTATCGCCTATACTATTGTCTATAATTTTATTATTTCCGATAGCCGATAACCGCTCTCGAAGGAGCTACATTTAGTACCTACTAAAGCTAAATTAAATACGGCGAGGGACGCTAATACAACGGCGGAGGTCTATCTAGATAACGAGAAGTACGGTAATAAAGCTATTAACGACAAATACTACGTAGACTTTCGCGATAGGATAGCGTAGTAGATGTTTACGGACTATAATACGTATTAAATAAGGACAGGTCTTAATATAAGGGCGTAGAAGCAAGAAGCACTAGTTAGAGTATAGCGAAGAATATAGTAGAGAGTAGAGGTAGTCGCTAGATATAAAGGTAAATAGCGGGGACCTGTTTTTAGTAAGGAATTTAGTAAGGAGCGCTGTTTCTACGTTCGAGGCGTTATATTCGGACTTTACTATCGCTTCTATCGAAATGCTAGTAGGGTATAAATCGCTTAGTCTTAGCATTATTAGAGTTCGAGTTAATAGGATGTCGTTTTCTTATATATGCAAACGCCTATACGTAACTAATATTTGCTAGTAAAAATTAATAACACCTTTATACAAATTAATAGTATAGACGTTAGCGTGTATTTACATCGAAAAGTCGTCCTAATACCTAGAACCTATATATATAACGTTTAATATAATACAACTTCTATAGCTTCTTCTACTATTTCTAATCCTTCTTAATAATAACAATACATTATCTATACCCTATTAGTATATATCTACCGTCTAAACCCTGTAGATATCTATTCTACTAATCGTTAGACCGTAGATCCGTTAATATAGCAAGGAAATACTCCTCGAACTACGCCTAGTTTATACTACAAGCGACTTTAGTATAGTTTTATTTACTATTCTTCTTCGTATACTCGCGGACTAATAGTATACAGTTTGCTATTAGTATATCTATCTTCTCCTATGTCTTCTTATCTAATAGGCGCTTCGTAACCTTACTAATAGTAGTACCGGCGTTAGTAGTAGCGCTAGTAGTAGCAATCTACTCGATACGCTGTTCTTTAGCTAATTTCCTCGCTATAATCCGATCTTCCTTTCCTTCCTTTATAACCTCCGCTACTATTAGTACTAGCGGCTCGAATGCCTTCTATATCGACCTCGTAGTATTAGCATTTGCCTTACTCGCCTCGTCCTGTTTTTTATAGATACAATCGGCCTCCTTCTATATCTTCTTTTAATGCTTATCTTGCACCTTCGCCGCTCGTAGAACTAGTAGCTATTCCTTAGTAAACGGCCTTATAATAGCCTTACCGAGCTCGCCTATACTCTTAACCTCCGACTTCTTACTTATACTACTTTCCGCTAACTCTTCTACGGTAGCTATATTATCGCCTATAGCTATATCTTAGCCGATTAACTCGTCTATTAACTTTTAATACTCTAGCAATTCGTCGCGGAAGGGAGTATACTTCGGGTTCTCTTCGAAATAGACGTTTTCTACGTCCGATTCGGCTATTAGCGGTATGCTATTCTACCTACTAATATACTTTAAATAAGTAATCTATATACTCTAATCTCGCTTAATTGTCGACTATCTATTCTTTAAGGCGTCGGTATTGCGATTAGTACTAAACTTCTAGTTTAATAGGTTAGCGAGAGGCCTTAAGTCGTCGATCTTAAAGTTATTAGCTTCGGTACCTCTTCTAACCTTCCTTAGCTCGATTAACTGCTTAAGAAAGTACTTATTCTGCTCTAAAGTCTAGTACTATAGTATAGTCCGAGCCTACTTATTATCCTTTATAGTAGTAGCTAGAGTAGTACTAGTTATAGCTCGTTTACGAGGCCTAGTAGTAGGCGTCTTTAGCTAAGAAGTAGACGTATTAGTGTCTTATAATACTATAGTTATATAGACTAATAACGCGAGAGACTAACTACTTCTTAGAGTCGATATTTATATAGTAAACTATCCTCTAAACGAGTACTACTTCTCCCTCCGAATTCGTATAACGATTACCTCTATACCGCTCTATACCGCTATTAATTACTTACTATCTACTATATACTATATACGACTTATGTTATATAAGGGACGATTAGTAGTTAGGCAATAGTATAGTATTAGCAAGGTATCTACGGTCCTACGGAAGTATATATAGGCCCGGCGTTCTATGCCTACCGTAATAGTACCCCCGTCCGATAGAACGAAAGCTAGCGTACTAAGGCAGCTGTACCTGTACTCCTTCTCGACCTCCGTTTTCCTTGCCTACTATATGTCGTATTTATATATATTAGGGTATTTTACCTCTATTCTTTAGTCTAAGTCTACGAGCTCGGCGCGCGTCTTCTTAGTAGCCGACTTTAGTATAGCCTTAGTATCGGAGCTAGTTAAGAAGTTTGCGTATTAGCGTCGTCTCTTCTAGTTAGATATCTCGCCGATATTAGTACTAGTCCGCTTACGCTTCGCTCCGCTCTTGTCTTATATCTTCTATACGCCGACGTACTATACTTACTTTAGCGTCTTAGGTACAGGTATAGAGGCGGGTACCGAGGCTAGTAGGGATAAGGCGCATACGGAGAGTTAGCTTGTCTAGATTTTTAGTAGCTTCTTCTTGTCCTTGCCCTTTAGTATAAAGATAGCCTTGCCTTTGCCCTTAGAGGCTAGGGCGAGAGTACTAGCGCTAGCGGCGCTATACCGCGATTTGGTCTTACGCTTCTCCGATAGCTACGGCGTAGCTAGTGCTTATACTACTTCGTTAGCGGCTATAGTGCTAACGAGAGTCTTAAACTTAATAGCTATAGCGAGCTCGTCCGGTAGGCAGAGGTATAGGTTAGCGCGCTACTCGTCGGTAAGCGACTAGTATCGTTCTATAATGCCTATACGCCCTAGTCCGCGGTATAGCTTTACCGGATCTGCGTCCTTAGTAGCGTAATCGTACTTAATGTCTTCTAGTAGTAGGCCCTTCTTATTATAGGTAGTAACCTAATCGCGGTCTACGCGCGGCATACGGCCTATTTATAGCTAAAGATGCGCTATACGGAGGAAATAGTCGAGCGCGATATCTGTTAGCGTACCGTCCTTATTAGCTGTATTATAGGCCTATATGTTTTTAAGGACGTAGTCTAGGATAGCTACGACGTCGATTTCCGTTAGCTACTCTACCGTAGCGGCCTTAAAGGTAAGGTAAAACGAGGAAACGA